CATTCCCCTACCAGAATGAAAGTTGGCCCTGCACTAGAATGTATGCATCAATTCATTGTCTCTGATCTTTGGATGGAATATGTCTGGTGCTTCAAGTTCATGCAGCCTTGACTCCCCAGTAACACTGACCACAACCTGTAACTCTGAATCAAAGAAACCTTTTATGTTTTACATTGTTTCTGTCAGGCTGCTTTTTTTTAAGTCTCCCTGTACCCCCACAGCTGGCCTGGATTTTAAAGATTATATATGAATGGAGGTAAATAAATCTAAAGTTACAGTATCATGTTTTATAAATTTATATAGAAGAGTATTTTAGCATTGTTACATTTTAATAAGAAACTTGTATTTTCTGATAATATTTTCTAAGATATTAAAGTCAAGGTCAAAAAGATATTTGTATATCTGTGTTCCTCACAGCAGATTTACAATGATTGAAAAAAATGCAAGAATCCAAGAATCCATCAAAATGTTAGTGAATGAACAAAGGTGGCATATATGCACATTTGAATGTGGGTCAGTCTTATGAATGATGGTAATTACTACATATTAGCCTGCCCTGTTTAGCTATGATGACATTTTGTAAAATCAACGGGTCACAGGAAGAAAAATGTGGTTTGCATTGTGTTTTTTTTTTTTTCTCATTGTGAAGTTTTCAAAGTTATCACATCCATAGAGTTGGTGATGGCAATTTAAATAAATACAGTTTAAGTTTAGTGATATGCAAATACTATTTTGAGTATTGGTTGTATCACAATTTAAATGTGCATAACAGTATTGAATTGTACATTCAAATATGGGCTATATGGTGAATTTTTATTGTTTTTATTTTCATTATTTTGCAGAGAATACAAGTAACTATAATTGTCATATTTTTCAATTTTGGAAGAAATGCAGTTTTATTGTACAAACTATAATCTAAAATACTGACACAAAATATACTGGATAAGTTTGAATCATTTTTACCAATAGCTTAACATAATAATGAAATAATAGGTCAGCTAAGAGCATTATAGGGACATTGAAATAAAGCACTCCAAGGAAAATATGATCCTTTTTCCCTCAAAATTTTGAAATACTTAGGAAAAATATATTCAGGTATAATCTGCTATGCAGAAAAATATTACAACAACCACAGACAGTTAGTTTTGGAATGTTTATTTATAAACTTGGTAAGAAAATTAGTGTCTTATTTGATATACAAATATGCAATTTATTTATTTAAATTATCATGCTATTTTAAAATACCTTATTATTTATATCTTCTCTCATTCTCTCACCCTCTAACCCTTCTTCCATGGTTTCCCCATTTAAAGTGGCCCCATTTTCTCCATTTCTCCCTTCATAATACCTATCCCTTATGGTCCCACCTTTCTAAAAAACCAGAGGGAACCAGATATATCAACAACCTACTAACAAATTTTGTACACATTATCTCTACATGAGTCCATGTGTATCGCTAAAGGCTATATAACAAGAAACAGTGCCAGACAAGAAATACCATCCTTTGAGTTGTTGGCCAGGGTGGTCCACGAGACTCACAAAATTTCTCATACTATTGCCACAGCCCTTGATGGCCTCCCAGTACTTGAAGGTAAGACCCTACTGCCAAAGATAGAGCATATGTTGGACACAAGATTTGGAGCAAATGAGCTGCAGCTAACCTGCCACCACTTCCCTTGAAGGCTAGTTCTCATAGCTTTGGAGACCACTATGAAGATGCCAAGGAAAACATCAATGGATGATCCAACACCAGCTTCAAAACCAAATAACTGCATCAATGGCCAGCACAGCATATGTCCTTGGTGCAATAGTGGAACTCTTGGGAACAATCAGCAGCTACATAATTTGACTAAATGTCCACTCAAAGGGAGAAACTGAAGTGTGGCAATATAAGCAATAACCTAATACACATGGCTGAAGTGGCCATAGATCTTAGAAAAAACCCCAAAACTGTCACATCGCTAGATTGTGATTTCCTACTCTGTGCAAAATTTGTATCCTTATATTTAGAGACAAACATCCCAGTCGCCACTCATCAAAGAAGCTCATTCTACACCAGTCAGAGACCATTATCAAGTACCACAACTGGCCACCCATAGACATTGTCTATGAATTGTCCAGGCCCAAGTGACACATCTACAATACAATGTCTACACCTAAGGCTCATGGAATATAGAAAAGGGATAATGAAGAGGACATTAATGAATCTCTTAGTTTTCAGTAATGAAGTTTCCTCATGCAGCAGAGGGCCAAAATTCAAACAGTCACAAAAAGCTAAGGTGTAGAGATCAATAGTCTTCTGAGTGCTGATCCTTGAGCAGGATCCCTTTACTAAGCTTCACCGACCCAAGGCTCAGGGACCACTGCAGAAGAGGTGGCAGAAAAATTGTAAGCACCAGGGAGTAGGTTCATAACCACATGGAAACAGAGTCCTACAAGCTTCTGGGAACCTGCTCATATGAGTCTATGGCTATGGAGCCTGCATACACAAGTCCCATACAAACTCAGGCAGACAATAACCCAGCAAAGAACTGGGAAAAAGAACAGCAGTCCTCAATCTTATCTGAAGGAATGTTGGCAACTGATTGTTGCTAGATGAAGAAGATCTGATCTTCCTAAAACAAGGGATTCTAGATAGGCTGACTAGAGTTAGTGGACAGACTTGCACCAGGGAATGGATGAGGGCACTGACAACTCAGTGGACCTTAAAAGGGATGACTGAGAATATGGGCTTCAGTGGGGGTGCCTATGGGAGGGTGCCAGTGGAGACTGGGGCATAAAGATGATTAAGATTGTTTTCACTGTTTTGTTTGAAACACACTAAAAATTATATATATATATATATATATAATTTAATCAGTGCATTTATGATGGAAAATATTCCACCCTGTACTATTTTAAGTATGGATTCTAATTACCTTGCACACTGATAATTATTATTAGTGTTATTGCCACAGATTGTCATGAACACAGTTACTCTTAGACAAATATTTTAAAACTTTCACTTTTAAGGGAGTGAGAATTCACACTGGTATCTTGTGAAGGAATAATGAGCTTTTATTTTTTTTTAACTTAAAGATACTTGCAATAATTATTTGAATGTCATTGTAAATAAATTATTACATTATTTTTGTGCAGAAACTATTATTTAATTTTTCTTATAAATACACATTGCTTTACAAGACTATTTTACTCACTGGAAAAGACTCAAATTTCTATCCTCGTATCACCTTCATCATTATAGTTATAATTAATTATGATTTATCTTGTAATTTCTTTCCTTTTTTGATGAAAAATCAGGGTTTTCTGCCTTGATATCAAATTGACTCCACATATTTTCACCATATATTTCTTTTTAAATTTTATTTTCACATTTAATGATTGAAAGAATGGAGATAAAATGAAAATTTTAGCCTATGGTATCCACCCCTATACCATTATCAAATAATTAAGTGTAAAGGGTGACTCAACTATGTAAGCTTTTTTATTGTTTGTAATTTATGGAACTCTTTTCTTCTATTGATGTCTTTCCCTAATTTTATATCTTCTAGAATTGGTTGCTTAATTTCAGAATAATTTAAATAATAAATGGCATACATCTGCAGCAATTCTGAAGTATCATTTGCAAGTAATACAAAGACTGGCAAAGTGGGTGGACAAAGGCTCATTGACTATATCCTGGACATAGGCTTTGGATTTAATATCAAAGATATACTATTCTTCTCTAGTTGGATTTTGTTGAACTTTGTTCATATAGTTTGCACAGAATCTCAAACATGATTTCTGTTTGTATTGCATACATATTTTTAGAAAATGTTTTCCTCTGTAATTCTATTGAAGATCTGTTTGATGCCATTGGTTTAATTTTTTTCCCCTTCCTGTATGCCTATAATATGTAGATTTGGTCCTTTCATGGTGTCCCACATTTCCTGAGTATTCCATTCCTGTGTTTTTTTGAATTTTGGATTGTCTTTGCTTAAGGAGCCCAGATCTTCACATTTATCCTCCAGTCTTCAGAATCCCTGATAAGGAAAACTTATTTCATTATATTTTCACATACATTCTTTTTACATGGTATTGTAGGAGATACATATTAAAGTCATCTGACTTTTTATTATGTTATCTTCAACATGATAGAAGGAAGTTTCAGGAGCGTTCTCTTTATATTAGCATTTTTCTCAATCATATAATTTATGGTCAGTTGTCAATAAATCATTTTTATTGATAAAATAATTATGTAAATATAAAATAAAGTAGCATAAGTCACAAGAATATATGTTAAT